AACGTGGTGTGCTTCTCTGCAGTTTGAAAGGCACACAGGATAGTACTGAAAATGCTAAAGGCAGAGGGAAACATGAGAGGGCTGTGTTCGTAAAAGAAATTAAGAGAAAAACAAGTAATGTGGATTTTTAAACAAATTGTCATTTTTAGGTACTAGAAATAGATTTATGATTACTTTTTAAATAAAATGACATTCACTGGAAAGGCACCAATGTAATATGCATGTATTTATTGTGCTGTGTCAGGGAATAACAGGTTCATTTCTTGCCCTTCATTTTTGTTGCGCTGCGCCCTAGATTCCTGAAATTAGACCTTGATCTGCATATAAGCAGTAAATTGCCTTGCTTACCCCTTTGTCTTTAGGTCAATTAAAATGAACACACTCCTCTGCCTATAGAAACATTATGGTAGAGAATTTAAATGGATTACAGGGGCAGGTCCTCTTAACGGGCCCGAGCACGGACTTATCGGACTCTCTCCCTCTGAGCTTGGAGGGGAGGCAGCTCGAGGGGCACCAGAGACATACAGGGAAGAACTGAGCTGTTTGGCACTGGAGCGAGGGCTGGAGAGAGGGCTTTCTCCGGGACAAACGTGCTGTCAGAGGCCTTTGTTCCTTTGGTGAGCCCTTCCCTGGGGCGGCAGACAGCCACCATATCTGGGACTCCAGCAACCTGGCTCACACTGGTAGCCCCGCCCTGCTGACTCCCTGAGGCCCAGCCCGCCCCGCCCCGCCCCGCCCCGCCCCACCCCGCCCCACCCCGCCCCGCCCCGCCCAACTTTCAGGCCCACCCAAGCTGTTGCCACTTGCTTCACCATAGGATTGGCCTGTCTTGGATCCTGCTTCAGGTTTTTCCTAAATTCTTTCAAACGAGCAGCATCTGGTCTTAGCTAGCCCCATACCTCTCATTAAGTAATACACAGAAACAAACATAGGGAGGTAGCCAAAATGAGGAGACAAAGAAACAGGTCCCAAATGAAAGAACAGAACAAAACCCCAAGAAAAGAACTAAGTGAAATGGAGATAAGCAACCTAACAGATGCTGAGTTCAAAATACTGCTTCTAAGGATGCTCAATGAACTTAGTGAGAACCTCAGTGAACTTAGTGAGGGACTCAAGAGCATCAAAAAGGACCAGTCAGAAATGATGGATGCACAGTCAGAAATGAAGGAGGCATTAACTGAAATAAAGAATAATTTACACAGATTCAATAGTAGAGTACATAAATCCAAGAAGCAAACCATCAATTTGGAATATAAGGAAGCAAAAACGCCCAATCAGAACAGCAAAAAGGAAAAAGAATCCAAAAAAATGAGGATAGTGTAAGGAGCCTCTGGGACAACTTCAAGCATGCCAACATTCACATTTTGGGGGTGCCAGAAGAAGAGTGAGAACAAGAAATTGAAAACCCATTTGAAACAGTAATGGCAGAAAACTTCCCTAACTTGGTGAAGGAAACAGACATACAAGTCCAGGAAGCACAGAGAGTCCCAAACAAGATGAACCCCAAGAGGCCCACACCAAGACACATCATCATCAAAATGCAAAAGGTTCAAGACAAAGAGAGAATCTTAAAAGCAGCAAGAGAAAGGCAGCTCGTTACCTACAGGGGAGTTCCCATAAGGCTGTCAGCTGATTTCTCAAAAGAAACGTTGCAAGCCAGAAGGGAGTGGCAAGAAATATTCAGAGTGATGAAAAGCAAGAACCTACAACCAAGATTACTCTATCCTGCAAAGCTGTCATTTAGAATCGATGGACATATAAAGATTTTCCCAGACAAGAAAAAGTTAAAGGAGTTCATCACCACCAAACCGTTATTATATGAAATGCTGAAGGGTCTGTTTGAAGAAAAAGATAAAATCTATGAACAAACAAAATGGCAATGAATACATATCTATTGACAATGGAATCTACAAACAAAATGAACAGGCAGAACAGAAACATTCTCATAGATACAGAGAACATTTTGTTGGTTGCCAGATGGGAGGGGGGTTGGGGGAATGGGTGAAAACGGTGAAGGGATTAAGAAGTACAAATTCATTGCCACACTGACAAACCTCAAAGGGAAAGGGGTTGGGGGGGTGGGAAGAAATAAACCAAAGAACTTATATGCATAACCAATGGACACAGACAATAGTGTGGGAAAAGGTGGGAGGGGGGCGGGAGTGGGGAGGAGGGGGTCAATGGGGGAAAAATGAGGAACATCTGTAATACATTCAACAATAAAGATTTTTTTAAAAAGGCAGAACACCTCAGATAGGGGAAAATCATGATTAACAAAGAGACATAGAAAGCAACCTCAGTTCTGCACGCTTGCAGTGTTTTCTTTTTAGAGTTTGCAGAAGGGACAGTTTGGGACCCAGGACAAAGAAGGGGGCAAGGCCAGGTAGCTAGTTGCATAGTCATTGTATTAGAATCGTGTATGACACATGTTTATGTATTGCCATTAAGCTACACAAATGAATTCAATGATTAGATAAACAGATAACTTAAACAACTAAATAAAATACCCCATGATATTCTATCACTTTTTAATAAAATTATATCTACATCGTGCTAATTTCTTGATTTTGATGGTTATATTGTTGTATAGGAAAACATATTTGTGTGAAATATAAATTATTCTGGGGTGATGGAGTATCATATTGGCCACCTGCTCTTACATATTCAGGAAAAAAATCTGTACTGTACTTGCAACTGTTCTGTATTTCACATTTCTTTCAAAATAATAATAAAAAAAGTAAACCAAGGCTGAAAGTTTATATAATCTGACCAAGGCCACATGGGTAGCTCCAAATTGCAACTCAGGTGTGTCTGCTCCTAAACCCACACCCTCCATCACCAAGCACACGGCACCTGACATCCCAGCTGCCTCGCTCCAGACCCTTCAAGATCAGCCCTAGCAGGTCTCTGTTCCTGCTCCTTCACCTGTGCAGCAGCCTGCCCTCCCCAAGCTGAGCTGAGGTCCTTTTGATGGAACTGCCCCTGAGCTGACCCCACCTGCCTTGGCCTGGCACCCACACCAGGGCACGTGGCCGGCAGGTCTGGGCAGCTGAAAACACTCAGCACTCCAAGTGGGCTCTGGCTGGCTTCCTGTCCCGAGGAGTGGGTTCCATCAGCTGAGCTCCTACTTCCCTAAAGTCCTCCAGTTCTTCCTGAAGAGGATCTCGAGATTTTTAAGCCACTGACAAGTACGCAAGGCAATTTTTTCTTGTCTTGGGTCCCCACTGTTATCAACCCTACAGTTTGAGATTCCCTCCTACTCAAGTGGCTTGAACTGGGGATCTCCTCAATTACAGCTTTGTATATTATTCCACCACTTAAAGACATCACCATTGCAGGTTATCAGACATCGCCCACGGCCAAATGCAGAAACTGCTGCTCTCCTGACTTCCCGGGCCCTGCCCTGCCTGCCCTGCCTGCCCACAGCCGAATCTGCCAGCACAGAGCAAAGGGGAACAGGCATTACCTCTGATGCCACAGTCATTACCCATGACTCCAAACCACATGCCCATCAACTGAGCTGCGGGGTCTAGAGGCAGGAGCTGGGAGGCCCAGGGAGCTCAGTGCTTAGGCATGTCCCAGGACAGGCGTTTTGTTCCAGATCAGCCCGACCACCTTCAGCTTGAGCCAGGGCTCTGTACTGTCCGGAACCACACGGACCCTTCCAAGAGCTAGAGCTGGCTCGGCCCCAGAGAGGGGCCACGTGTGTGGCCCCTGCATGTGGCTCATCTGCCTCTGCTCTCCTGGGAGGAGTCCAGCCCCAGTGTGTTCTCTCCTGGTGGTGGGCACTTGGGAGTGGTCCTTGGCAGTGAGTGTGTCACCAGCCCGGAAGGGTGCCAAGGCCCAGGAGGGGAGGGCTTCCTCGCCGTGTGCTCCATCGGGCCCTATGTAAGTGCTCTCATCCTGCGCTGCTTGGAGATGGGGTGAGGGAGGGCAGGGGGCCTCCGGCCCCTGGGAAATGTCCCTCTCACAGACCTGGAGTTTCCCTCTAGCAGGTCTAAGTGCCCTCCAGCCCGAGTGCTCTGTGAGGAAAAGTGCTGTGTAAACAAGACGGCCACTGCCACCTGGCCTGGAGCACGGCCTGGTGACGGGGCCTCTGCGGTGGGGAGGAAGCGTGGCAGCCTGCCTCTGTATAAATGGTGCCGTGCCCTGTCCGCTCTGACCTGGAGGCCGAGATCCACGTGGCTGTGCTGGTGGGTGAGTTCAGCCCCAGCCCCTGGGTGTTCCCAGGGCGCGCACTGCAGACAGTGAGAACCAGCCCAGCAGTCACAGGCTTAACTCAGGGCCAGGCTGGGAAGGAGGGGGCCTCCCCACACACCCCTGCGGTTTCACAGAATTTTACCTATGGGTGCAAGCAGATGGGATTGCAAATATTCTTATATTTTTCTGGGTTCCTCAGCCAGGTCCATTTCTATTCTGCAAAACCTGACAGGGAGCAGAGAGCAAACTGCCAAGGACAAGGGGTGACCCCAGCAGGAGGAGGAGTCTCCCCATCTTGGAGTGTCCAGGCCATGGAGCCTGGTCATCTTCATTCATCCTTGGGAACAGGAGCCCTTAGAACCTGAAAAGAGGGCAGCTGAGAGTATAAGGGACAGACGGAGTGAGTGAGTGACCACATCCCTCCTCCCAACAGCCTGGGAGGGGCAGGGCAGGCCTGTCTCCAGGGCACAGAAGTTTTAGCTGAGGGAAGAGTGGCAGAGTGAGTTCGCCGTGGTCACACAGCAAGGTGCAAACAGAGACTCTGTTAGAGCCTAGGTCCTGACTCTCCAGAGCTCTTTACCCTGTATCTCCTCACTGGCCCAGGTACCACACTACCTCAAGCCAGAGCAGTGGGGGTGAGACCATGTCAGACGCAGACGATTCTGAGTTTGCAAGGACAGTTTGGGTCTTCCCAGAGCTCCTGTCTGTAGCTGCCCTGGCCCTTAGGCTCAGCTGTGTGAGGGAGGGAGGGAGACCTTTCACACGCCTCAGGTGGGCTGGCGGCCCCTCGTCCCGCAGGAGGAGCAGCTGGAACAGGAGCCATGCTGCTGTGCTCTTTGGCCCTCACCCTCGTCCTGCTGCTGGTCTCTGGCACTGAGTGCGATGTGAAGGAAGTTTGTTCTGGAAGCCCGGGCATCCCTGGCACTCCAGGATCCCATGGCCTGCCAGGGAGAGATGGAAGAGATGGCATCAAAGGAGACCCCGGACCTCCAGGTACTGGCTGGGAGACCCCTCCCTCAGCTGAGGGACAGTGACCTATTTTCAGGAGCCTCATGTGTTCAGGTTCTGGATTATTGGTCCAAGGTTCAGCTGGATGGTAGGGCATGGTGGAAGTTTCCAGGGGCCAAAGATTGGAGCAGTGCCCTGGCCGGTTTGGCTCAGCAGTTAGAGCGTCGGCCTGCGGTCCAGAGAGATCCGGGTTCGGTTCCCGCTAAGGGCACGTACTTCGGTTGCAGTTTGTCCCCAGCCCTAGTTGGTCGTGCGGGTGGCAGCCATTCGATGTGTCCCTTTCACGTCAATGTTCCTCTCTCTCTCTCTCTTCCTCTCTCTCCCTCCCACTCTATCTGAACAAAAAATGGAAAAATGTCCTTGGGTGAAGATAAAAAAAAAAAATTGGAGCAGCCATGTAGGGTCTCTCCTAAAGTGCCTATGTATTGACAGATGAGGCAGCCTGGCTGATAATGAAGGTCCAGTCACAGGAGTCCAGCCCTGTTGTGAATGACAGATACCATCCACCCATGTCCCCTTCTCTCTGCAGGCCTCATGGGCCCCCCTGGAGGAATGCCAGGCCTCCCTGGGCGTGATGGGCTGAATGGAGCCCCTGGCATGGATGGTGAGCCTGGAGAAAAGGGAGACCCTGGTGAGAGGGGCCCTCCAGGTGAGCAAGGTAGGGAAGGTGGGCACTGGCAACATGGGTATAGTGCCCATGTGATTGTCGTCACATGAGGGATGATGGGGATCAGACAAAACTGTGGAGGCCCCCAAAGGGCATATTGCTCAACCTAAATGAGAGAATGTGAGGTTGAGGAGAGAAATCGGGGGGATCTGGGTAGTAGGCCATGATGCAGGGACCAATGGGTATTAAAAGTACTCCATGCACCACGGCTGCTGTAGGGGAGACACAGGGCATTGGGAGTAGGAAATGGGGCAGTCCTGGGGGACAGGGGAGGCACTTCTTAGGGTTGTGACACCAGGGGCAATCTGAAAGGTGTGTGGGGGGGTGTATCTGGACCACAGATCCAAGCAGATGGTGTGATTGGGAGCCCCACATGCAGAGGGAAGCTCTGAAATGCTAAGCAGTTCTCCAGGTCCATCAGGAGAGGGCAGAGAGAACCACACCTGCCCTTGGTGGAGGGTGGGAGAAGGGGCTCTGCCCAGAAACCAGAAAAACCTACAGAAGTGGGCAGACAGAGCCACGAAAGGCTCTGGTAGAGAGGAGGGCAGGGAGGCGCTCAGCAGGTGCAAGGCTGCGTGGAAGGACAAGTGTGGAGGGAGTGTGCAAGCACACTCCAGCACAGTGGACCCTCACAACGTGGGGCCTGGGTAGTAGGTATGGACGAGTAGAGCGAAGAATGCCAGGCTTGCAGGTGGTATCGTACCTACTTGGCTGCAAGTGGGAGTCCCTGGTGGCTGGCCCTCATCCTGGATGGGGTTTCCTCCACAGGGCTTCCAGCATATCTGGATGAAGAGCTCCAAACCACAATCCAAGACCTCAGACATCAAACCTGGAAGTCAATGGGAGGTAAGGGACCCTTTAGGGCCTATTGGATAGGGGATTTCCCGTAAGTCCCCCTCATCCTCAGCACCAGGCTGCAAAACCTGGACATGCATGTCTTAGGAAAAATAATGATGTTTCTCTGTTCTTATGTCTGTGGTGGCCCACAGGGGACAGAGGTAGACACAGATTAGCTCCCTATGTCATGGGAAAACAAGTTCTCTGACTATCTTGCTTTCTATTGAATCCCAGAAATTGCAGTTTGGGGCACATAATAAGACAGTTATAAGTAGGGGTTAAATGTGTGAGTGAATGAATAGAATGATGAGAGCATAGGAGAATTTAGGGAAATTAGGATTGGAAGATGGAGGGAAGACAGAGAGGCAGAGATGAAGAGACTGGAGAGAGTATAAAGGCAGAGAGCCCAAGTGAGACCCAGAGGTCAGTGCCTGACCCAGATTCCTCTGCTCTCAGTCCTCAGTTTGCTGGGTTCCGTGCTGATAGTGGGAGATAAGATCTTTTCCACCAATGGACAGTCGGCCAATTTCGATGCCATTAGAGAGACCTGTCTCAAAGCGGGTGGTAAGATCGCAGTCCCCAGGAGTCCAGAAGAGAATGAGGCCATTGCAAGCATCGTGAAGAAGCACAACACTTACGCCTACCTGGGCTTGGTCGAGGGCCCTACCCCTGGAGTCTTCTACTACCTGGATGGGGCTCCCGTGAATTACACCAACTGGTACCAAGGGGAGCCCAGAGGTCGGGGCAAAGAAAAGTGTGTGGAGATGTACACAGACGGGAAGTGGAACGACAAGGGCTGCCTGCAGTACCGACTGGCTGTCTGTGAGTTCTGAGCAGGCGGCAGGGCTGAGGCCGAGGTGAAGTCCTGCCTTGCCTTTCGGCCTCCATCCTGTGGATCCAGCCGATACATGAGATGTGATAACTCCCTGTCGACAAGTTATTTGTGGCTATTTGAGTTGGAGGCATTCTTAGCCACTCCACTCCCCAACAGGACCCTCACTCACCCTTTGATCACTAATCAGTCGAACACGGCCCCTACAGCTCCTTCTCAGCACTGCACTCAAGGCAGACACTCCTACCTTTGCCCTTTGTCAAGAGATGGAGACTTCTTTCTTCCTCCTCTTGTGCAGTTCATTTATAGATGGGAACAGTGAGGTCCTGGGATGGAAGATCCCTCCAAAATCACACAGAGCGTGCCTGCTTCCTGGCTATATCTGCTCCTTCTCTGCAGCCCACCGCCTGCCCAGTCTCAGCAGTTCTGGTCAAGCACATGATCGAAACAGGTGCACTTCTGGGAAATTCCAAATTTGGGGATTATCTGACAGCCTGGAGCCTCTGGGGACACACAAGGCCAGTCTCCTCATGGGGTCAGAGGGCCAGCTGGTGTCCCAGCATGATGAAGGCCAACCCAACCATAGTGATTGGCATATATTATCCACTTCTTTGAGTCTTGGGGTACCAACTCAACTCTCTAATCTAAAAGTAGCTAGTCTATACCTCTAGAGAAGATCTTATCCCTGCCCCATACATAATCCAAGTAACTTCCTGCTGATGAACATATCTCCACACAAGTTCAGATATTATGAGGTGTTCACACCACTGACTATTTATTGAGCACATGCTATGTACCAAGCCCCTTGACAAGCACTTATAGCAAATAAAATATTACTTAATATTTACACAATGCCATGGGACCAGTATTATTTTCCATATGAGGACACTGAAACTTAGAAAAGTTAAAATTTTTATATTTTATTGCATGGAGCAAGTGGCAGAGGCTGGACTCAAACCCATCTACCTGGACCTGAAGCTCATGATCATAACCGCCCTACCCTCTCGCTAAACAGAGATGATTTAAGTGTAATAAATCATGAATGTTTTAACATCAGTTTCCATTGCTCTGGTTCCAAGAAACACCGCATTTCTGCATGTTTATAAATCAACTTAACTGGTTCTGAGCCCCCACTTACCTAAAAAATGGAAAATTGAATCTCAGGTTATGTTTCTTTGTTGAATGGGAGAGCAACCTGTTCTCCACTTACAGATTATGTGGTCAAATGGGGGCTACAGAAAACATCTGGAAGAACATCAGGATTGATGGCTGGCAGTAAGACAACTCCTCTAAGTCTACATAGTCCATCGGGGGGGGGGGGGTAAATATATCTTCCATTTCCCACTCAGCCACCTGGATGTTCTCCATAGATGGGGCTCTGTCCCAGGCCTCTGTGAGCCACCCAGTCTCAGGTATGCCCGGAATGGAACCATGTCCCGGTGCTCTGTGGGAATAGGACCATGTTTCTATTGGCTTGAGGAGGCAACCACATATGTATCCCATCTTCAGAAAGGTCCCTACTTCTCCCACTTTTGCATCTTGTAATGCTCTTCCTCACTGTATATAACTCTTTTTCTTATGCAAGAGGAAGCTCTGGATCATAAACAACAAAGCCAGATGGGAATGAGAAGAAATATTTTTCATTCTTTCATATTTTTAATTTTTAATCTGGTCACCTTGCTACATGTGCTTAGGGCCCAGCACACAAATTATTGAGCCTTCCCCCAAATTCAAAAGAGCAAGAAGGAGGCCCTGGATGGACTGGCTTAGAGGTTAGAGCATCAGCCTGCGGACCAGAGATTCCGGGTTTCGGTTCCCGCTAAGGGCACTTAACCTCGATTGCAGTTTGTCCTCGGCCCTGGATGGGGTGGTGTGGGTGGCAACCAGTCGATGCGTCTCTCTCATATCGATGTTTCTCTCTCTCTTCTTCCCTCTCTCCCTCCCGCTCTATCTGAAGATAAATGCAAAAGTGTCCTCGGGTAAGGATTAAGAAAAAGAGGAAGGAGAAGTATATTTTTTCTATTATATAGATGAACAGTCTAAGCCCCCAAGAATTGATGTTTTCTCATTTCTTAGTAGATTTATTTTTTATTTACTTTATGATTTTATTTCCTATTGTTACTATATTATTTTATTATGTTTTAAATTAATTATTGATGTCATAAAAAAACTATTATTTTTTGTTGATTTTATACTAAGCCATCTTTTTGAATTCTCATTTATCCCCCAGTATTTCTAATATAATTGATTATCTTAATTTTTATCTTAAATTTATGTTTTTGGGGAGCCCTGAATGTATAAATGGGAACACTTTCAATATTTTACCACTGAAAATATTGCTTGTTTTGGGTTTCTGATAGATATCTTTTATCAAAGAAGAGAAGTTCCCTTTTTTTAGTAGTTTGCTGTGATTCATTTTAATCATGAATGTGTATTGGACTTTATCAGATGATTTTTCCACATTTCCTTTAGTCTAATAACACTAAAATGGTTTCTAGGGTGGGTCAAGCCATCTCCCACCTTGGTGCCAGCATCTGGAGCCCACAGGGGAGAATAAGAAGCTTTAAGTGCCTCATCTTTTAAAGCTGGAGAAATTGTCTGGCCAGTGTGGCTCAGTGGTTGAGCGTTGACCCATGCACCAAGAGGTTGCTGGTTTGATTCCCAGTCAGGACACATGCCCAGAGTGTGGGCCCAATCCCCAGTGGGGGGCATGCAGGAAGCAGTTAATTGATGTTCTCTCTAATCAATGTTTCTATCTTTCTCTCCCTCTCACTTCCTCTCTCCCTAAAATCAATAAAGGAAAAAAATAAAATAAAAAATAAAAATCAATCAATCAATAAAGTTGAAGAAATGCCCCAGGGACCCCCACTATGGAGCCTGCAAGAAGGGGGCTGTTCAGCACAAGTGATTTAATAATCCCCATCGCCTTGATCAGCATAAGAAGGAATAAAGAGGGGAAAGAAGGCTGTTGCACCTTGGCTAGAAATTATCCCTTCCTCTCACTCCCTGAGGGGTGGGGGAGGAGACTGAACTACCCTCTTCCTAATCTTTGCAGGCAGGGGATGCCCACATTACTCCGCCTTTCCTGATTAAGTCACCTAGGGCGGCAATGGAGGGAGTGCATCCTGCTCTGAAATGACAGGAGTGCTGAACCAGAAGCCGGACTGATCGTGCCGAGGCATGGGGAGATGGAGAGCAGAGCTGGGAGCGGGGTGCTCGGAGGCAACCTGGATTTCCATCACTCGGATGGAGTTTCCCCCCAGCTGTGCAAATGCCACTGTCATGGAAGTTAGCTGGGTTTCACCCTAATCGTGAGCAGGTAGCTTCCCTTGAAGCAAGGACACGGGCTCAAAGAACAAGAGACGATGAATTGAAATGTCCACTGACGTGATGTTGAGGGTAGGAAACGTGCACCTAGAGGCTCTTACAGGTGAAGAACAGTCTGAAGAACAGTCCTGAGAAGGGTTGTCATTTGTAATCAGTCAAAAAAGAGACCCAAGAACCAGTCAGGGTGGGCCAATAAGCAGCACTGACCCCAGGTCATGTGATTCCTCCTGCGAGCAGGATTGTCCACGGCTGGCACCATTTCCTCGACACCCCCCACATGTGGAGAAATAAGAGGGAAGGCCGCTGCCCACCCTTCGCTTCACGAAGACCCCGCTCTATGGCCGGAGTACTGATGAATCAGAGATGAAACTGAGATCTTAATGATGAAACTGGAGGACAATAATCACTCATCTGGACTATGGTCTAAATCAACCCAAGGAAGCTTGCATTGCAGGGATCCGGGAAGAAAATGTGTGAAGAATTTTGAGACCATGTATTACTTTTGAGAGCAGGGAAACTTCAGCTTTAAGATTTTGTATATCTGCAGTAAAACTCTTAAACTTGTTATATATTACATTAGTGAGTTCCATGGATTCATTTTTTGATGCTGAACCACCCTTACATTCCTGGGATATACCGTACTTGTTCTAATGGCAGATATTCTCATCACACTTAGTATGTACCAGGCACTATACTTATATTAGCTTATGTCATCCTCCTTAATCCCATTATCCCCAATTTACAAATAAGTATATTGATGTGAATATGGATTGAAGTGATTTGTCAAAGATCATGCAGTCAGTTAATGGTGGAACTGGACTGTAAATACAGAAAGTCAGACTCTAGAGACTATGTTATTAACCAAGAGTGTTTGGCTGCACTTTAATAGTTATTTTTTACTTCAGGCTTTCAGATGGGTAAGTGTGTGCTCTACATCATATAATTATTCTGATATTAGTGGTTACCAGGGACATATACTTACCATAATTGAAAAAGGCAAGAAGAGACCAAGTTACACCTACAGGCACATTTAAAGTTGCTGCTCCTGCCACATCTGTTCAGATAGAGCAGGAGGGAGAGAGAGAGAAACATCGATGTGAAAGGAACACATCAAGTGGCTGCCACCCGCACAATCCAACCAGGGCCGGGGACAAACTGCAACCGAAGTACATGCCCTTAGCGGGAACCGAACCTGGGTCTCTTTGGACCGCAGGCCCATGCTCTAACTGCTGAGCCAAACTGGCCAGGGCTACATTTTTTTTTAATGTATCTTTATTGTTGAATATATTACAGATGTCCCCCTCTTTTTTCCCCATTGACTTCCTCCTCCCCATCTCACAACCATCCTGCTTTCCCCACACTATTGTCTGTGCATATATTCATATAAGTTCTTGATTTATCTCATCCTGCCCTCCTCCCCCCTTCCTTTTAAGATTCATCAGTCTAACCAATTCATACTCCTTAATTCGTTCATCTTTTTCAAGCATCCCTCAGCCCCCTCCCATCTGGCAAGCAACAAAAAGTTCTCTGTATCTATGAGTCTGTTTCTGTTCTGCTTGCTCATTTTGTTTGTAGATTACATTGTTGATAGACATGTATTAATTGCCATCTTATTGTTCATATTTTCTTCTCCTTCAAGAGGACCCTTCAGCATTTCACATAATACTGCTTTTGTGGTGATGAACTCCTTTAGCTTTTTCTTGTCTGGGAAACTCTTGACAAGCTCATCAATTCTAACTGATAGCTTTGCAGAATAAAGTAACCTTAGTTGTAGGTCATTGCTTTTCATCACCTTGAATATCTCTTGCCACTTCTTTCTGGCCTGCAAAGTTTCTTTTGAGAAATCAGCTGACAGTCTTATAGGAGCTCCTTTGTAGTTAACAAACTGCTTTTCTGTTGCTGCTTTTAAGATTCTCTCTTTGTCTTTAACCTTTGGCATTTTGATGATGATGTGTCTTGGTGTGGACCTCTTTGGGTTCAACTTTTTTGGGACTCTCTATGCTTTTTGGACTTGTATGTCTGTATCCTTCACCAAGTTAGGGGAGTTTCCTGTCATTATTGTTTCTAATAGGTTTTCAATTTCTTGTTCTCAATCTTCTCCTTCTGGCACCCCCATGATGCAAATGTTGGCATGCTTGAAGTTGTCCCACAGGCTCCTTATACTATCTTCATTTTTTTGAATTCTTTTTTTTTTTTTTTTGCTGTTCTTATTGGGTGTTTTTTGCGTCCTTATATTCCAAATCAATGCTTTTCTTCTTGGCTTCACCTACTCTACTATTGATTCGCTGTAAATTATTCTTGATTTCAGTTAGTGCATCCTTCATTTCTGACTGGTCCTTTTTTATGTTGTTGATGTTCTCACTAAGTTCCTTGGAGTTCTCCTTAAGTTCTTTGAGCATCCTTATAACCAGTGTTGTTGTTTTTTTTAACATTTTTTTTTTTATCCTCACCCGAAGACACTTTTCGATTTTTTGTTCAGATAGAGTGGGAGGGGGAGAGAGAGAGAGAAACATTGATGTGAAAGGCACACATCGAGTGGCTGCCACCCACACGACCCAACCAGGGCTGGGGACAAACTGCAGCTGAGGTATGTGCCCTTAGCAGGTACGGAACCAGGGTCTCTTCAGACCGCAGGCCGACACTCTAACTGCTGAGCCAAACCGGCCAGGGCATAATCAGTGTTTGAACTCTGCGGCTGATTGATTACTTATCTCCATTTTGTTTAGTTTTCCTGTAGTTTTGTTCTTTCATTTAGAACATGTTTCTTTGAATCCTCATTTTGGCTGCTGCTTCCCTGTGTTTGTTACTGTGTATTAGGTAGAGTTTCTATGTCTCTTAGGCTTCGTAGGGTGGCCTATTGTTGTATGTGTCCTGTAGGATCCAGTGGCACAGCCTCCCTAATCACCTCTGCTGGGCCCTCAAGGTGCACCCTTAGTGTGGACTGTACACATTTCTGTTGTAATTGAGTCTTGATTGCTGTTGGTATGTCAATGGGAGAGGTTTACTCAGGCTGATCAGCTGCAAGGACTGGCTGTGCCCACTGACCACTGGCCTCTGACTACCTTGGAGGATCAGCTGTGTAGGGGCCCACCACACAGAGCAAGACTTACTTCAGCAGGCCTCTGGTACCCACTGAGTCCACTCATTGAGTGTGTCACTTGTGGAGGTGGTTGGGTGGTGGTGCTTCAGTGTAGTCTAAAACTGTCTGCTGGGTGTACTGGCTCTGGGGCAAGGTCAGCCTCTGCCTGTGTTCTACCCAGGGCCACCAGACATAAGCTACAAAGTAATCTGTAGATGGCTGCTTCTTGTGCTGGGCTTGGAGGTGCCCAGGCAAAGCCAAGCTGTGAACCAAAGCTGGCTGCTTCCTGGGGCCACTTAGGGAGAGCTGTGGGGCTTGCTGAGACCAGGTGCTGCTTATTTGAGAAAATTTAGGAAAATCTGAAACAGGATCAAAGACAGACCAATCCTATGGTAAAGTTATTAGAAACAGCTTAGGTGAGCCTGAAAGTTGGGTGGGGCAGGGCCTCAGGGAATCACTAGAGCAGGGCAAACAGTGTGAGCCAGGTCACTGGAGTCCTAGATATGGCTGCTGCCTGCTGCCCAGGGGTAGGGCTCACCAAAGGAACAACGGCCTCCCAGCACATCTGTCTAGGAGAAAGCTGCCTCTCCAGCCCTCCCGCCGATGCCAGAACGAGGTGGTGCTGAGTAACCAGAGGAGTGCAGGTTTACTGAGGGAAAGACCTGCAGGGCTACCTCTAAGGAGAAAATAGCAACTGGCTCATCCAGACTAAGGGTTTTTAAACTTAGGGCTGCATTAGGTGGTCATTTAGCCGCGGAGTCATGGTCGTCCTTGATTGGTCGGGGTTGGGGTCTCCTGAGTTCTTGATTGGTCGGGGCTGGGGTCTCCTGAAACTTGTTTTTTTTTGTTGAGGACCGTTCGCAGTTTTGGGTGGGTTAGGGTAATTCCGTCATTCTGTTCCACCTGACTGGAGTGATGGGTTTTGGTTTTCTGGAATGAGAGGCTTAGGGCAAGTTTAAACGATAAGAGGCTTGGGGCATCAATATGAAAGTAAAAGATTTAAGAGGCTTGGGGCAGTAATATGGAAGTTAGAGCTAACACCAAACAACTCAGTCTGGTCCCTTTCAAGCTGCCTCTCCCATGCTGGAGCCTGGAGGGTGCTAGTTCGAGTAAGTGTGTGAGGGCCCTTTAAGAGGAACTGCCTGGGAGTGCAGAAGACACAGCCTCCCTCAGCCTCAGTTCCTGCTGGTTTTACAGTCAGAAATTATGGGGACTTCTCTTCCTGGCACTGGAACTTTGAGCTGGGTGCCTGATGTGAGACTAGGACCCCTCCCTCCTCAGGGAGGACCTTCCCAGCCGAGGTGTCTCTCCTGGTTTTTATGTGCCACACGTGGGTGTGGGAACAGCCTGTCTTCAGGTCCACCCCTCCTATCAGTCTCGATATGGCTTCTTTAATTTCGTAGTTGTAGGATTTTCATTCAGTTCGATTTCCAGCGGTTCAGAATGATGGCTGTTCTGTAGTTTAGTTGTAATTTTTATGTGGTTGTGGGAGGAGGTGAGTACCACATTTATCTACGCTGCCATCTTGACCAGAAGTCTAACCAGGACTACTTATTTTTATTGAATTTATTGGAGTGACATTGGTTAATAAATTAATTATATAGATTTCAGGAGTACAATGCTATAATATATAATCTATATATGGTATTGTGTGTTCACCACCCAAAGTCCAGTCTTCTCCCATCACCATTTATCCCCCCTTTACCCTCTTTTACCTCCTCCCACCCCCCTTTCCCTCTGGTAATCATCATACTGTTGTCTGTGTCTATGAATTTTCTTTTTTGCTTAATCCCTTCACATTTCCTTCACATTTTTCTTTTCTTTCTTTCTTTCTTTTTTTTTTTTTGAAGGTGGGGTTTGTTTTTTATTATAAAAGAAAAAAATAACTCCTCAGAATCTTAACGAAAGGAATATTTCACCCGCAGAAGAGACACCAGGATACAAAATTATGTTCAACCCTCGTCCTGTCCCCCTGCCCGGAGAAGCAGAGATGGGAAGGGGACAGTGCAAGCAGACAAGCAATTCTGTAAGACAGACTCAAATCCCTACAAATATGATTAAAATCTAAACTTGTTTTGCTTTTAAAAAATGTTTTAATATATCAAAAGGCCTGCTTTAGTGACATGCTAGTCCCCTAGGAAATAACCCAATACCTCTATGTCAGTAACATACATGCTCAAGTTGACCTGCCAACTCATATTTCTAAACCCCTGTGCATACGTGTGTCTTTCAACCAAAGCCACGGTGGGTCTAACAGACCCTATCAGCCAACTTGTCAGGCACCACCACCCTCACCCGCCCCCCCCCCCAAAAAAAGGAGAGCCTTGTTGCTAACCCGACCACTCACCTCAAATCTGGCTCCCAGTGACCAGAATGGTTTTTCTCCTTTAGAAAAAGCACACTTATCCGCACACCCATATATATAATTTTTTTGCTTTTGCGTTTAAATATAAACATACTACTCTGATTTGTATTATAAATGGAGGACCAAGCAATGAGAACTTTTTCTGCTCAGGTAGGGCTGTCCATCTCTCCCCTTTACGCTGAGCTTGTCTTCCAGTGAGGGCCTTAGCCCCAGACCAGGGGGCACCCCAGGGTAAGAGGGCACCTTCCTGCCTGACTCCCATGCTTTCCAAATTCTCACTTTAATTAGAAAACTGGTTATGACCTTTGCAGAAATGGAACTTCCCACCAAGAGGGAGTATCTAACCTAACCACATTATAAGCTGAGCACCCCCGCCCCCTTCAGCTACTTGAAGAAAAAGGTCCTCTCCCTCCCTTCACAAACACTATGCTCTGTCCGGATAGCTACGCCTGTTGGACAAACACCTGATTAAGTGAAGCAGTGGTTATGTTCCCCCACCCCCTCCCCACTAACACACTAGAGAAAGCTTCAGTGATAGGGGAAAAAAGGGGGTGTATGTGTGAAGAGATTAAGAACTTGACCCCTCTAACCTGGCCAAAGAAAGCAAGAGCAATTAACTGGGCACAAGGAATAAAAAACAGACCTTGATATTCTGCCCTTTGAGTTACAGCTGTTATGACAGTTGAGAGGGCGAGAGCGGGAGCAGGACGAAGAGTTAGTCAGAAGGGGCTGGACGGCTGCGAGTCTGGTCCGCTCAGTTCTTGTACTGGAAGGGCTCATCGCCAGTTTCGTTGGGAAGACACGTGCGGATGAGGGCTTCTGTCACGGCGAAGGGGTCACAGTTGGCAGAGGGGCGCCGGTCTTCAAAGTAACCCTTCTTCTCCTGGCCGACAGCCCGGGGAATGCGGATGCTAGCACTCCGGTTGGCCACGCCAGCAGAAAAGTCGTTGATGTTGGAGGTTTCGTTGAATCCAGTAAGGCGCCTGGCATTGTCCTGGCCCCCTTGGGATCGTAGGCTCGGATGTGGTACTGGTGCCGCTTGCTCATCCTCTCGATGGACTCCTCAATGCACTTCAGACCGTTCTCCTCCCGCATGGCCTTGGTGCTGAAGTTGGTGTGGCAGCCCACACCATTCCAGTTCCCGGGGATAGGCTTGGGATCAAAGGTTGCTATCACTCCAAAGTCTTCACAAACTTGGTGCAAGATGAAACGGGCCACCCAGAGACGATCTCCCATGTTGATTCCGTCACAGGGTCCTATCTGGAATTCCCACTGGGCAGGCATGACTTCGGCATTGGTCCCCGCGATCTTGATGCCGGCGTACAAGCAGTCCCGGTAGTGAGCCCCCACAGTATCCCGGCCGTAGGCTCTGTCTGCTCCCACGCCGCAGTAGTACGGGCTTGGGGGCCAGGGAAGCCATTGGAAGGCCAACCAAAAGGGTGCCCATCTGTGCCCATGAGAGTATACTCCTGCTCCATTCCAAACCAGGGATGCTGACTGCTCACCATGTCCATTATCTGTTTACAGGTATACCTTAAATTGGTCTCTGCAGCTTTGCAGTTGTACTTTAAAACTTCACAGAACACCAGCTTGTTGGGGTCATTGCGGAAAGGGTCCCGAAACATGGCAGCAGGGGCAACATACATGTCACTGTTGGAGCCGTCAGACTGTAAGGTACTCAAGCCATCAAAATTCCACTCCGGCAACTCTTCTATACACTTGGGCTCACTGTCCAGGGTCCGGGTCTTGCATCGCAGTCCTTCTCCAGTACCGTCAATCCAGATACACATAGCTTGGACTTTATCACCCTGAGGCAGGGACATGTACACCTGCTTGATGCTTTTGTTCAAGTGGGAACTCGCCGAGGTGGTCATGGTGGAAGATGTTCTGGGGGGCGAGCAGGCAGCAGGGCGCGCAGGCCTGACAGCGAGGTGCGGAGAGGACAGAGGAGGCTGTGAGTGCTGCTCAGACGCTCCCATCTTCTCCCATCCTCGGCTCTCCCTTCACATTTTTCACCCAGCCGGCCAAATTGTCCCCCCACCCTCCATTTCCTCTAACAGCTGTCAGTCTGTTTTCTGCATCTATGAGTCTGTTTCTCTTTTGTTTGCTAGATTTTTTTGCTCATTAGATTCCACATATAAGTGGAATTTGTCTTTCTCTGACTGGCTGATTTCATTTAGCATAATGTTCTCCAGGTCCAGCCATACTGTCATGAAAGGCAAGATTTCCTTCTTTTTTATGGCCAAGTTGTATTCCTTTGGGTAAATGAACCACAGCTTTTTTTCTCCACTCATCTACTGATGGACACTTAGGCTGCTTCCAAATCCTGACTATTTTTTTCAGGAAACTCCTTCCTGGTTTTCCACAGTGGCTGCACCAATCTGCATTCCCTCTGATGGTTCAGGAGGATTCCCTTTTCTCCACATCCTTGCCAGCACTTACTGTCTGTTGATTTATTGATTGTAGCCATTCTGACAGGTGTGAAATGATATTTCATTGTGGTTTTAATTTGCATTTCTCTGATGATTAGTGACATTGAGCATCTTTTCATATGTTTATTGGCTATCTGTGTGTCCTCTTTGGAGAAGCGTCTATTCAGGTTCTTTGCTCATTTTTAAATTGGATTATTTGTTCTTTTGGTGTTGAGTTGTGTAAATACTTTATAAATTTTAAATATTAACCCCTCATCATATGTATCCTTGGTGAATATGTTCTCCCATTCAGTGGGTTATTTTTTCATTTTGTTGATAGTTTTCTTTGTTGTGCAAAAAACTTTTTAGTTTGATGTAGTCCCATTTGTTTATTTTTCTTTTTTTCCCTTGCCCAATGAGACCTATCAGAAAAAAAATACTGATGCAAGAAATGTTCGAGATGTTATTGCCTAATATTTTCTTTTATAAAAATATTTTTATTGTTGAATGTAGAATGTATTACAGATGTTCCTCATTTTCCCCCCATTGACCCCCTCCTCCCCACACCCGCCCCCCTCCCACCTTTACCCACACTATTGTCTGTGTCCATTGGTTATGCATATAAGTTCTTTGGTTTATTTCTCCCCCCCCCCCAACCCCTTTCCCTTTGAGGTTTGTCAGTATAGCAATGAATTTGTACTTCTTAATCCCTTCACCTTTTTCACCCATTCCCTCAACCCCCCTCCCAACTGGCAACCAACAAAATGTTCTCTGTATCTATGAGAATGTTTCTGTTTTACCTGTTCGTTTTGTTTGTAGATTCCATTGTCGATAGATATGTATTCATTGCCATTTTGTTTGTTCATAGATTTTATCTTTTTCTTCAAACAGACCCTTCATCATTTCATATAATAACGGTTTGGTGGTGATGAACTCCTTTAACTTTTTCTTGTCTGGGAAACTCTTGATTTGGCCATTGATTCTAAATGACAGCTTTGCAGGATAGAGTAATCTTGGTTGTAGGTTCTTGCTTTTCATCACTCTGAATATTTCTTGCCACTCCCTTCTGGCCTACAAAGTTTCTTTTGAGAAATCAGCTGACAGCCTTATGGGAACTCCCCTGTAGGTAACGAGCTACCTTTCTCTTGCTGCTTTTAAGATTCTCTCTTTGTCTTGAACCTTTTGCATTTTGATGATGATGTGTCTTGGTGTGGGCCTCTTGGGGTTCATCTTGTTTGGGACTCTCTGTGCTTCCTGGACTTGTATGTCTGTTTCCTTCACCAAGTTAGGAAAGTTTTCTGCCATTATTGTTTTAAACAGGTTTTCAATTTCTTGCTCTCAATCTTCTCCTTCGGGCACCCCCAAGATGCGAATGTTGGCACGCTTGAAGTTGTCCCAGAGGCTCCTTACACTATCCTCATTTTTTTTGGATTCTTTTTCCTTTTTGCTGTTCTGATTGGGCGTTTTTGCTTCCTTATATTCCAAATCGATGGTTTGCTTCTTGGATTTACGTACTCTATTATTGAAGCTGTGTAAATTATTCTTTATTTCAGTTAATGCCTCCTTCATTTCTGACTGTGCATCCATCATTTCTGACTGGTCCTTTTTGATGCTCTTGAGTCCCTCACTAAGTTCACTGAGGTTCTCACTAAGTTCATTGAGCATCCTTAGAAGCAGTATTTTGAACTCAGCATCTGTTAGGTTGCTTATTTCCATTTCACTTGGTTCTTTTCTTGGGGTTTTGTTCTGTTCTTTCATTTGGGACCTGTTTCTTTGTCTCCTCATTTTGGCTGCCTGCCTGTGTTTGTTTCTGTGTATTACTTAATGAGAGGTATGGGGCTAGCTAAGACCAGATGCTGCTCGTTTGAAAGAATTTAGGAAAAACCTGAAGCAGGATCCAAGACAGGCCAATCCTATGGTGAAGCAAGTGGCAACAGCTTGGGTGGGCCTGAAAGGTGGGTGGGCCTGAAAGGTGGGTGGGCGGGGCCTCAGGGAGTCACCAGGACAGGGCTACCAGTGTGAACCAGGTTTCTGGAGTCCCAGATATGGTGGCTGTCTGCCACCCCAGGGAAGGGCTCACCAAAGGAACAAAGGCCTCTGACAGCACGTTTGTCCCGGAGAAAGCCCCCTCTCCAGCCCTCGCTCCAGTACCAAACAGCTCAGTTCTTCCCTGTGTGTTTCTGGCACCCCTCAAGCTGCCTCCCCTCCAAGCTTAGAGGGAGAGAGTCCGATAAGTCCGTGCGCGGGCCCTTAAGGAGCTGCCTGGGGCTCCAGCCGCTTCAGCTTCCCTGAGCCTCAGTTCCTGCTGGTTTTTCCAGCCAGAAGTTATGGGGATTCTCTTCCTGGCACTGGAACCCTGAGTGGGGCATCTGGTGTGAGATGGGGACCCCTCAGTCCTTAGGGAGGACCTTCCCAGCCGAGGTGTCCTCCTGATTTTTATCTGCCACACGTGGGTGTGGGCCCAGCCCAGCCCCTCCGCCCTCCTACCAGTCTGGATGTGGCTGCTGCTTTAATTCCATAGTTGTAGGACTGCCATTCAGCTTGATTTCAGGCGGTTTTGAATGATGGTTGTTCTGTAGTTTAGTTGTAACTTTGATGTGGCTGTGGGAGGACGCGATGCCGCGTTTACCTGCCCGCCATCTTGACCGGAAGTCTCTAATGTTTTCTTTTAGGGTTTTTATGGCTTTGAGTCTTTCATTTTTGTCTTTAATCCATTTTGAATTTATTCTCGTGTATGATGTAAAAACATGGTTTAGTTTTATTTTTTGGCACCTATCTGTCCAATTTTCTGAACTTCATTTATTGAATAGAGTATTTTTTTTTTTTTTTTTTATCCTCACCCGAGGACATTTTTCCATTTTTTGTTCAGGTAGAGTGGGAGGGAGAGAGAGGAACAGAGAGAGAGAGAGAAACATCGATGTGAAAGGGACACATCGAGTGGCTGCCACCCGCACAACCAACCAGGGCTGGGGACAAACTGCAACCGAGGTACGCGCCCTTAGCGGGAACCGAACCCGGGTCTCTCATGACCGCAGGCCGACGCTCTAACTGCTGAGCCAAACCAGCCAGGGCTGAATAGAGTATCTTTAGTCCATTGTATGTTCTTCCTTTCTTTGTCATAGATTAATTGACCAGAGGTATGGATTTATTTCTGAGCTCTCTATTCTGTTCCACTGATCTATATGTATGTTTTTATGTCAGCACCATGCTGTTTTGATTACTATAGCCTTGTAGTATAGTTTGATATCAGGTAGTGCAATTCCTTCAACTTTGTTTTCTTTCTCAAGTTTCCTGTTGCTATTCAGAGTCTTTTGTGGTGCCATATACATTTTTGGAATATTTACTCTAGTTCTGCGAAATACACCATTGGCATCTTGATAGAAATTGCATTGAATTGATAAAATTGTTTTGAGTAGTTTTAATGATGTTAATTCTTTCTATCCATGAATATGTACATGCTTCCACTTATTTGTATTTTCTTCAAATACTCTTTTCAGTGTCTTATACTTTTCCAAGTACAGGTCATTTACATCCTTGGTTAAATTTATTCCTAGGTATTTTTATTTTTTTTAAAGCAATTGTGAATGGGATTGTTTTTTTAGTTTCCTTTTCTCATAGTTTATTATTGGTGCATAAAAATGCAACTGATTTCTAAATATTTATTTTGTATCCTGCTACCTTGCTGAATTCATTTATCAGTTCTATTAGTTTTTTCGTGGAATCTCTGGGGTTCTCTTTGCAGTATCATGACATCTGCAAATAATGACAGTTTTACTTCTTTCTTTCTAATCTGGATGCTTTTTATTTCTTCTTCTTGTCTGGTTGTTGTAACTAGGATTTCCAGTGCTATGTTAAGTAAGAGTGGTGAAAATAGACAGCCCTGTGTTAGTCCTGATCTTAAGGAAAATGCTTTTAGTTTTTGCCCATTGAATATGATGTTGGCTGTGGACTGGTCATATATGGCCTCTTTTTTTTTTTTTTAATTCTCACCTGAGGATATTTTTCTGTTTATCATCAAATAGAGTGGGAGGGAGGGAGAAAGAGAGAAAAAAAAACTTTGACATGAGAGAGACACATTGACTAGTTGCCTCCCGCATGACCCCAATGTGAGTCGGGGATGAACTGTAACTGAGGTACATGCCCTTGACCAGAATCAAACCCGTGACTCACTAGTCCACAGGCTGGCACTCTAACTGCTGATCCAAACCAGCCAGGGTTCATATATGGTTTTTTTTATGCTGAGGTATGTTCCCTCAGTTTCCACTTTGCTGAGCTTTTTTTTTTTAAATCATAAATGGGTGCTGGGCCCTGGCCGGTTTGGCTCAGAGGTTAGAGCGTTGGCCTGTGGTCCAGAGAGACCTGGGTTCGGTTCCCACTAAGGGCACGTACCTCAGTTGCAGTTTGTCCTCTGCCCTGGTTGGGTTGTGCAGCCACCTGATGTGTCCCTTTCACATCGATGTTTCTCTCTCTCTCTCTCTCTCTCTTC